TATGAAACATCAAAAGTACTGTTGTTCTGAGTCTATACTTTTTTTTTTTTTTTTTCAATTTTTGAGACTATTTGATTGTTTATTTGTTTATTCATCTGTTCGTTTGTTCATTTGTTTGTTTGTTTGTTTGTACATTTGTTTGTTCATTTGTTTGTTCAAATTGATGTCCTCTAATGGTTTTCAAAAACTACCGCACTGTTTAAAAGTTGCAAAAAGTTGCAAGAAAAAAAAAAACCAGTAAACAAAACTTTTTAAACCTCTCCCTTTTATTTCTCTCATTTATTTTTTTTTTTTAAACTTACGGTCAGTCAGATATCACATTTGAAATATTCGCAAGTAATTTTTTTTTTTTTCTGATCTGTAAAAGACACTAATCAAATGCGTGAACAAATAAACAAATAACCTTCCATTTCCTCTTCCTCCTCCTTTTTCCCGTCCAAAAGTGAGAAAACGATACCATAGTACTTAAGCTCTTTTTTTTTTCTTCTTACAACAGACCAGACCTTGTTCAGTGTTTACAAAAATCAAAAAAAAATTACAAAATTTTGACAGTTTTTCGATCAGGCCATTTTATCAAGCAGTGAACAGTTGTATAAATAATTTACTGCATTAATTTGTATTATTAACTGTTCGATAAAATACCGCTTAATTTAACAAAGCATTTCAGTCTCTTCTCTCTCGTCCACTTTCTTTTAATTTTTTTATCACATTGTATAAAGTCAAAATGAAAAAAATTAAATGCTTGGGTGCCCTCAAAGTAAAAGAGTTTGCTTGTCGAACAATGTCAGTTAGATGGATAGATAGTTGATGACAGTTGGGTAAAACAAATTTTATTGAATCATACTATTTTGTATCCAACTGTTCGTTTCTTCCTTTTTTTAAAAGTAACTTTTAAAAGACTGTTGAAATGAAGGGGGAACTGAAAAGTTTCATCAGATACTTTGACAGTTTATTGACGTAATTTCCTCATTTCAAAGGAAAAAAATTCAGGAAAATTATGCTGTTTATTTGAAGTTATTTATTTTTCTTAATGCATAAAGATTTTACTTATGAATATTTACAGTGTCTTGTGTATAAAGGAAAAAAAAAGTTTCATTTTTCTCGCTTCCTTCTTAACGTTTACGTAATAACATAGAAAAGATAGCAAGTTGTCAATTTCGTTTTATGCAAAAAAAAAAGTCTGCTAAACTTAGTTAAAGATAAAATTTGGTATACATTCAAACAAAAAAAAAGACCTGTCCCCTCTCAGTTTAAAGGTATTTTAACTGAAGATAACCTGCTAGCTGAGGTGACTGATTAATTATTAAAAAAAACTTTTTATAATTATTGATAGCAAATCCGGAAAAGAAAACAGAGACAAATTCGGAATGGTATTGATGTTGATGACCAGTTTTTGTTTGTTTATTTGTTTGTTTTTGTTGATATCGGTGCTGATGCTGATGCTGATGTCGATGCTGATGCTGATGCCGATGCTGATGCTGATGCTGATGCTGATGCTGATGTCGATGCTGATGCTGATGCTGATGCTGATGCTGATGCTGTTGCTGATGCTGATGCTGATGCTGATGCTGATGCTGTTGCTGATGCTGATGCTGATGCTGATGCTGATGCTGATGCTGACTGATGCTGATGTCGCTGATGATGATGATGATCTTGAAGATTTTGATAATGATGATGATGATGATGATGATGATGATGATGATGATGAGAAAGACGATGTTATTTGTTGTTGTGTGGTGCACCGTAGCTGCACTATTGTATTGTACCAACTCGGTGCATAAAAGAAATGTATCGAGGAAAACGAACGATTGAATGGGTGTTGTCAATAACAGCAGCAACAGCAACAACGACGGCGACGACGACGACGACGACAATAACGACAACAACAACAACAGCAACAGCAACAATTACAATGGTAGATTTTAAAGAATAGAACAATAAATGAATATTTAATCTGAAAATTGGTTTGTTGATAACAGGCTATAAAATGTATAGAAATAACGAAAAATTGTTTAAGGGAAAAACAGTTTTTTGTTTGCCGATGAACAGTGTTCAGAAAAACAATAATAAATGAAAATACGAAAAAAAAAGAAAATTATTTTTCAATTTTGTAATCTATTTCAAAGAGGAGTAAAAAAAAATTTTTTTTTTTCTTTCTACTTTTATCAATAGTTTTTTTGCAATTAGAGGTTAGAATTATTCAACGAAAAAAAAAAATGTTTTTTTTTGCAACATCTCTTGCATAAATTTCAATTCTATCCGATTTGATTGCCAAATCGCCATTTTCTTTTTCAGCACCCAAATGGATGCCCACACTAAACAGAAGTGGACATAAGGACAAAGATCGGGAGAAGGTGGAGGAGGGGAGAGGGAGGGGGGCGGGAAATCGGTGGAATAGGTTGTAAGTCGTTTACCAAGATATTTCCTTATTATTTGTATTCACATAGGTATACAGAAACACATAGACGTGTATTGTTCCAAAAATTTTTGGCTGTATTTGTTTGTTGTACACAAAAATATAATTTTTGTGTATTTGCAAAAATTAAATCATAATTTTTGCATCGGGAGTAACAGTTGTCAACAGTAAAAACAGAAAATTATGTATACACTTCTCTAATTCAGGCTATCACAGTTCTTCACTGCTGCTGTACTTTATATA